AACCCTACTAGGTCAGATCAAAGTGCTCTCTGGTGTCTATCTTCCTCTTGCTAAACAAGACATTTATGATTTGGTTTTACTGTGTTTTGTATGTTTGTATTATATAACCTCCTTTATTAGTTTTAGATACGGAGATAATCTTTGCAAGCACTTTATAAATAATGAGTTATATTTATACAGAAGAAAGAAAGATGCAATAGCAATATCAAGAACTGCATGAGCAGACAGGTGGGCACTACAGAGCATGATGGGCACTATGGGCAGGCACTAGAGAAGGCAGGTGGGTGTGTGGGTGCTATGGAGTGCAGGCAGGCACTAGGGAGCATGGGTGGGCCTACAAAGCATTGTCAAGTGTGATTAGATGCTGCAGGCAGATGCTATGGTCAAAAAAGCAGCAGAATAACTTGAGGTCTCCCACCAGTTTCCCATTGACTTTGCTTGTAAGAAGCCAGCAAGGAAATCACATGATCCAATGGATGCTGCAACTGTTGTAATTGTGAGTGTAGGAGTGACCAGGCTGAGCCTGAGGGAGAGGTCAAGGGCATCATCAATCTCAAATCCCTTCGTGCCCACCAGAATCCTGCCTCCCTTGAATTCTTGCTTCGGCTGTTGGTAGTTCAGATCCTTGAAGAGAACGTTAGCAGGCAATAAACCTGCACTCATTAAACTGCCAGGGCTCCCGATTTCCTGCATTTGAAACTGCAAGTCGTTTAACAAGCACCCAAATCATATAATCGTAGGGACAGCCTATGATAGCCACAACTTTGAAGACCGGCTGTAAGTCCCCTTCATTCAGCAGCATCGTAACTTTGAACAGTTACTGAGCAAGTGGCTGTAACTCAAGGACTTCCTGCGATATCATTGAGATCAGACCTGGATAGCTCCTAATAATAATGCCCCATATATAATTATCTAAAGTGCAGAGATCTGTGAATTCAATTCTTGGTAGAAGATTTGAACTCCATAGAAAAAAATGTCTATCAGTCCCAATAAAAATGAAACTGGTTATTATTATTATTATTATTATTATTATTATTATTATTATTATTATTATTATTATTATTATTATTGTTGTTGTTGTTGTTTTGTTGTTGTTGTTGTTGTTATATAATTAATAATTAATAAATAATTAATAATAATAATAATAATAATAATAATAATAATAATAATAATAATAATAATAATAATAGTAAAGTTGGAAGGGACCTTGGAGGTCATCTAGTCCAACCCCCTGCTCAGGCAGGAAACTCTATACCATTTCGGACAAATGGCTGTCCAGTCTCTCCTTAAAAACCTCCAGTGCTTCCTGGTGCTCAATAAATCTAAGTCTGCAGCTGCACAGTGGATGGAGCAAGAAGCTGAAGAGCCACCCTCCCTAAATTCTCAGACTTTAAAGCTGATGGCGAGCGAACTGGATCCATTCAATGTACTTATTCTGGGATTAAATAATTCCATGAGCAGCAGAACAAACAAGCTGGCCCCAAAAAATTGAAAAAAAATTCTTGGAAGAAAAAGGAGATAGTACAGCACAAATTACATTTGTCACTCGGATAGTGCAGCGGCAGCTACACCAAATCACAAGGACCCTGAAATACTGGAGCATCTTTTCATGTCTGAGCGCACAAACTGTCAATTTCGGCATAAAAAAGTGGCACCCTGCAGGCAGGGCTTCCTTGAGGAATTCTGCGGAGGGCCACAGCGCAGCCTCGCTTTGAAGCCAATTGGCTCAGATCCTGACTTCCCCCTATCATTTACATTGGAGGAATCAACAAGCTGTCAAGTTTAAACTAGTGAATTCTCTCTATTATTTTGACAGGTTACCATAAATATTATATAAAGGTCTTCCATTACTTTGAGAACAGAGTGTGAAATCTGTTAAACAACTCCCCAAATTAACAAAGGAAGGAGAGAATTTCCTAGTAAGATATGCTGAACTTTATCATAAAATGTTTACTGCAGGAGAAAGATGATTAATAGCTTTCTAGATAAGTGGATGGATGGATGGATGGATGGATGGATAGATCCCCCCATTGGCTTTGCCTGTCAGAAGGTCCCAAAAGAGGAATCACGTGACTCTGGGACATTGCAACCGTCATAAATACGAGCCAGTTGCCAAGCATCTGAATTTGGGTCACGTGACCACAGCGATGCTGCAATGGTTGTGTGAAAAATGGTCATCGGTCCCTTTTCCCAGTGCCGTTGTAACTTTGAATGGTCACTAAATGAACTGTTGTAAGTCAAGGACTACCTGTAACAAGCTAACCTGAATGATCTATATACTGCTTGGTACGATGCTCAGGAATTCTGGGAGTTGAAGTCCACAGTTCATACAGAAGGCACGAACAAGGGAGACGCACAAAAGGATTTGAATATTATTTTGATGTGCTAGAGATTTTAGCTTGCATTGAAATATGGTCCATGCAACCACATTTCAGGCCCTTGCCAAAAACACTTTGCATTATGACCAGGTGCCGTGTTCCATGGTCACATGACTGGAATGTGTGACGTTTTCTGCTGGTTTCCAGTAAAAAAAAACACCCATCTGGGAGAGTGGATTCAGACTTACGACCGTGTGGTTCCCTTAAAAGAAATTGTTGAAGAATCGGGTCTGACCACATGATGCCTCAACTTGTGACTGAAGTTCTGCTCCTAAGCAAGGTTGTAAGTATCGGCACCTTTTTCATCTTCATCTCAGATAAACTCTTGGAATGTGTAAAGCTGGACCAGCCTTCACATTTATTTTTTGTCCCCTGGAGACTGAAACAGTAACAGGCCAATGCCAAACACATAATCTCTCCCTCATTGCTTTTCCTAGAGGACAGCGCAGCAAAATATTCACATAATTTAAAATAGATTGAAACACGGATGCAGAACGTGTTATGTAGACTGCTGACTGCTCAATCTATACTTCAGATTCTCTCTGGGATATGGCCGATAGTCCGGACATGTCATCTGTATCACAATACAGAGGTCAAGATTTATCTCTGAAACAGCTCCCTCGGCTCCAAATGTGATTGTAAGATGCCATGGAAGAAGGATGGCATTTATTTTTGGAAAGAATCAGTGCTATGAACAGGATTTTTTTTTTTTTCAAATGACAGTGACCAGCACACTGGGACACTACATAAGGGTTGCAAAGGAATTGTTTCATATTGGCAGAAAATTCAGGCCACATTCCTGAAAGTATGCCAAGTTCACCATAATATTGTGTGTTGTGTTCTCCATTCAACAGGCAACCCCATTTCAAGGGGGGGGGGGAATGGCCTTCAAACTGAGGACATGGAGACTGGAGACTGGAGGCTAAAACATACAAGGAACGGTTGCTGGAATTGGGTATGTCCAGTTTAAGGAAGAGAAGGACGAGGGGGGACAGGATAGCAGCGTTACAATATCTCAAGGGTTGCCCCAAAGAAGAGGGAGTCAAGCTATTCTCCAAAGCCCCTGAAGGCAGGACAAGAAGCAATGGATGGAAACTGACCAAAGAGAGAAGCAACCTGAAACTAAGGAGAAATTTCCTGACAGCTAGAACAATTAATCAGTGGAACTACCTGCCTCCAGAAGTTATGAGTGTTCCAACACTGGAAGTTTTTAAGAAGAGACTGGACAGCCATTTGTCTGAAATGGTATAGGACAGTGGTGGCGAACCTATGGCACGCGTGCCAGAGGCGGCACTCAGAGTCCTCTTTGTGGGCACGCATGCCATGCCCCAGAGATAGCAACCGTCTCTCTTCAACCAGCCGCCCGCTAACTCGCCAAGGTCCCACATGGCCAGATGCATCTCAGCACGGCTAGTTTCCCTCCCCCCCCGTCCCATGCCTCCCGACCTCGCATGCTCTCCTTTTCCCGGGCACGACCCACTGCATCGCCTCCTCAGCTGTCGGCTGGCCGTCCAGCTCAGAGGCGGCTTCTCTGAACTTCTGGCAGCGTGCTGCGGAGCCCCAGAGTGCGCCGGTCGAGGGGCCGGCAGGCTGTGGCTGCTGATGGACACTGTTGGCCCCCATGTGCTCGCTGGCCTCTGTGTGTGGGGGCCGATGGTGTGAAGGCAGCAGTCGCCCCAGCCCTTGCCTCGCCTTGCCCTGCGACAAGGGCACCCCCACCCTGCCTCGCCTCACCCTGCAGGACGAGCTTCCTGCCCACTGCCCCACCTGCCAGAGAACCCCTGGATCTCCCCCAACCCTGCCCGGCCCCCACAAGCGTCCCTCCCCACGAGCAACATCGAGGTGACCATGCCCACCTTGGCCACACCCACCCAGTCTGCCATGAACACCACAGCCACGCCCACCCAGTGGGCCACGTCCCATCTGGCACCCAGCGATAAATGAGTGGGTTTTGGGTTGCAGTTTGGGCACTTGGTCTCTAAAAGGTTTGCCATCACTGGTCTAGGGTCTCCTGCATGGGCAGGGGGTTGGACTAGATGACCTCCAAAGTCCCTCCCAACTTTTTATTTATTTATTTATTTATTTATTTATTTATTTATTTATTTATTTATTATTATTATTAGTAGTAGTAGTAGTAGTAGTAGTAGTATTTCCTACTAAGCCCAAAACAGTAAACATTTTGAATGTTTCTCAATGCAGACTCAAACCCCTGTAGCTTTTCTTGGAGGAGAAAGCAGGATCCAGGAAAAAGGCGTCCACCTGGATTAAGCTTCACCTGGAGAGGAAACTGGTTAAGGAGTTCTAACATTCTACCAAAGAGTTCAGACTTCACAGAGAAAAGTTCTAGTCATTTTGTGTGTGTGTGTGTACTTTAAAACATGCCCTTCAGAGCAGGGCTCTCCAACCTTGGTGACTTGTGGACTTCAACTCCCAGAATTCCTCAGCCAGCCATGCTGGCTGAGGAATTCTGGGAGTTGAAGTCCACAAGTCGTAAAGTTGCCACGGTTGGAGACCTCTGCCTTAAGAGTTTACTTTCTCAGTCTTTGTCTCCTGCGTTGTTTTAAAGCACGACTGTTAATAGAGAAAAACAGAAATACAGAATTGTTCTGAAGTGAAAGTCACCTGGATGGGTAGCCGGCTGCGCTGATCCGGATGGTCTCCAGCACTCCACAAGCTCTAAGTTGCTGCACTGCTCTCTTTGGATCGAAGCTGTCAAGACACAATTGATGGCACTCGTGAACACAGCAGTACGGCCCATCCCGATCCCGGTTCATTTACATGGTCTAGGACAGGGGTAGGAAACCTTGGCTCTTTTATGACTGGTGGACTTCAACTCCCAGAATTCCTGAGCCAGGAAAGATGGCTCAGCATGGAAACCTCTCCCTTTCCCCTCAGCATGGCTGGCTCAGGAATTCTGGGAGTTGAAGTCCACGAGTCATAAAGTGGCCTAGGCCTAGGCCAGAGATAGGCAACCTTGGCTCTTTTATGACTGGTGGACTTCAACTCCCAGAATTCCTGAGCCAGCCATGCTGAGGGGAAAGGGAGAGGTTTCCAAGCTGAGCCAGGCTGGCTCAGGAATTCTGGGAGTTGGAGTCCACCAGTCATAAAAGGGCCAAGGTGGCCTAGCCCTGGGCTATGAACTCAATGCTAATCTTAAGAATAACCTTCCCAAACTTTAAAGACTTCGGTAAGCGTTGCATTGAACTCCCAACATGTCTTTATCTATCAATACTTTTATTAAGTTTATCAAGACGTAAATATAAAAGCAAATGAAAATAGGGGAGGGAAAAGGGAAGAGAAAGAAAGGAAAGATAATGGGAGCAAAAAAGAAAGGAAAACATTGACTTCTGACTCTTTTTAGCACAGTAGACTAAGACAGTACCGTTACAGCCTCAACTTGTTACTTTTTTGTCTAATTATTGACTAAATTATTACTACTGACAATAATTTTTGATCAAACTAGCATTAGATAAGGTTGCTGTTACAGAAATGACTGAAACTAACCCGTTTTAGTCATTTCTATACTAGCAAACTTGTTGTTGTTGTTGTTAGTTGCGAAGTTGTGTCCGACCCATCGCGACCCCATGGACCACATTCCTCCAGGCCTTCCTGTCCTCTACAATCTTCCGGAGTCCCTTGAAGCTCACGCCTCCTGCCTCAGTGACTCCATCCAGCCCCCTCCTTCTCTGTCGTCCCCTTCTTCTTCTCTTGCCCTCCATCTTTCCCAGCATCAGGCTCTTCTCCAGGGAGTCCTTCCTTCTCATTAGGTGGCCAAAGGACTTGAGTTTCAACTTCAGGATCTGGCCTTCTAAAGAGCAGTCAGGGTTGATCTCCTCCAGGACTGACCGGTTGGATCGCCTTGCAGTCCAGGGGACTCGCAGGAGTCTTCTCCAGCACCAGAGTTCAACGGCCTCCATTCTTTGGCGCTCAGCCTTTCTTAGGGTCCAGCTTATGGTCCAGCAAGCAAATTTACCTAATCACAAAACCCAGTCAAAATTCCATTTTCCCACCTCAATCAAACACAACATCCAGAAGTGGTTTCCAACTGGAAACAAAGTTGAAAAGTGTTCTTTTCTTTGATTAAAGCAGTCAAGTTAAGCCTCTCTGCTAGATCCCATCAGTTTTTCCAGCCACTCATCCGTTGTGGCAATCAAAGTATCTTCCCATTTTTGTGCATCGAGCATTCTTGCTACTGTCAGAGCTCCAGATTCTTTTGTATTTTATATCTTGATACATTTAATAAAATTACTGATAAATCAACATGTCTTGACGGTGCCAGGCTGGGGAAATGCTGTTTGGTTTATACTGGTGGTTAATTAGTGGCTCCTTTGGGGAATTTCTAATTCCTAGTTCACCTTTCCAGAAAAGGCTAATCGGAATGGAAACTTTCTCATTCCTCTTTGGCTGTTCTTTGAAACATTCCTGAATAGTTTCTTCATCAGATTTGGGATTGTATACCTGTCCTTTGTTTCCTGATCAATGCACACCTGACGCATGACATGGCCGTGAGACAAACACAATTAATGGTGCTAGTTCCTGGGCAAGGTCTGTTTAACTTGTACATGTTTTAATATTGTATTTTTTATTTTAAATTTTATGTTGTATAGCAGGGGTCTCCAACCCCCGGTCCGCAGACTGGTACCAATTTGCGGCACGTTGGGAACTGGGCTGTGCAAGTGGCGAGTGAGCGCACAAAGCTTCATTTGCACATGCTTGGGATTTAGGCTGCGCGTGCGAAACCATCTTCCTCCTGCTGCTGGTCCGCACAGCCAGAAAGATTGGGGACCGCTATCGTATAGTATGCCTTATTTTAACTGTGATGCTTCTGACACGAATAAACAAACCATCAGATTTGATCTGTGAGGATCAGTTCTTTCTAAAACTTAAGAGACATTTCGTATCTAGCTAGCGCCCTTTAAAATGGAAGTCAATAAAAAGAAAGCAAGGTAAATGAAACTTGCCCCCCACAGGATCTGCCAAATTTTCAGGAATGTATCAAAAACGTAAATACACAAGAGCAAACGTGTAATGCATTATTCCAGATCTCTGCGTGTGTATTCACGTGTGACCCTGGTTCAATAGCGTAAATAACAACTCAGCAATTCTCCTCTGAGTGAATTGCAATTGAGCCAAAGAGGCCGATTCTGAGATGCTGTCGTGGCTTCGAAAGTACATCTGCCTCTGCACATGTGGAACACAGCAATTGTTCTTTTATATAACTTTATTAAAAGAAACACAAAAAGCAATTGTCCAGGAACATGTTTTACTGGGAACAAAGGGTATCAGGTTTTGTCAGCTATAACCATCGTAAACGGGGACTGGAAAATGTCACCAAGTGAGACAAGAAAATTGAAAGGCTCCCTTCCAAATCTGCAAAGGGCCATCACGTAGAAGAGGTGGAAGATTAATTCCTTATTGCCCGAAAGAACAGGATCAGATCCAATGGGATCAGGTGGGCTGACGTAGGTTGATAATCAAGCATTTTGACCATAAAAACAATTGCCTTCAAGGCTCTATTTTTTTTTTTATTTGCTAGAGAGCTTCGACCAATGTTGAAATTCAGCCTGTGTTGGGAATTGCTCTTGGTTTCCAGCACAAAACAAGGGATTAATTAAACTGTACCAGAGGGCCTCCGTGATTCTTTTCAGGGCCGTGCTTTCGTGCCCTTTTTCTTGTGAGTGAAGGCGAGAACATACGTGTCCCAGGATAAGGTTGCAGGATCCAATCTGGGTCAGTCACTGGCGCCAGAGATTTAGTTTTCCGGACTCCAGCCCAAGTCCCAAAGCTCGGAAGACTAAACCTCTGGTCCCAGTGACCGATCCAGATTAGATCCTTTTTCTTGTGTGCTTAAAAATGAAAGTGGGGAGTAATACATCATCCTGGTCCAGAACATGTACTTTAATTTCTTTAGTGAAAAAAGATTTAATAGGATACTTAGGATACTTTTTTCATTAGACGGCTTCCTAGTGATTCTTCTCTGTCGTGAAGTGGACCTGAGAGGTTTTCACTCAAATTATGGTTTAAATCTCAAGGAGTGGCGACTCTGCCAGTCTGAGGTGGACACAGAAATTCATCCATGCTTTTTGGAGCTTTGAATATATGATCGTACGGGAGTCTCTCCACCGTGCTTGTAAGCCGTAGTGGTTGTAAAATGGATCAGTCACGTGACCAACTTTATTTTACAAGCATTTTGGTCATTAAGTAGATGCTGTGGTCATTAAGTGAGTTCGTAGTTCACTATGGGCACAGTTTTACTGAAAACCAGAAATGCCAGTTTATCAGTAAAATAGACTAACAGAATAAAGAGTTGGAAGGGACCTTGGAGGTCATCTAGTCCAAGCCCCTGCTCAGGCAGGAAACCCTATACCATTTCGGACAAATGGCTGTCCAATCTCTTCTTTAAAAACTTCCAGTGTTGGAGCATTCACCGCTTCTGGAGGCAGGTTGTTCCACTGGTTAATTGTTCTCACTGTCAGGAAATTTCTCCTTAGTTCTAGGTTGCTTCTCTCCTTGATTAGTTTCCATCCGTTGCTTCTTGTCCTGCCTTCAGGTGCCTTGGAAAATAGTTTGACTCCCTCTTCTTTGGGGCAGCCCCTGAGATACTGGAGCACTGCTATCCTGTCCCCCCTCGTCCTTCTCTTCATTAAACTAGGCATCCCCAATTTTTGCAACTGTTCTTTATATGTTTGAGCCTCCAGTCCCCTGATCATCTCTGTTGTTCTTCTCTGCACTCTTTCTAGAGCAAGGGTCTTCAAACTTGGCCCCTTTTAGGACTTGTGGACTTCAACTCCCAGAATTCCTCAGCCAGCTATGCTGGCTGAGGAATTCTGGGAGTTGAAGTCCACAAGTCATAAAAGGGCCAAGTTTGAAGACCCCTGCTCTAGAGTCTCAACATCTTTTTTGTAAGATGGTCACCTGTTGTAAAACACAGTCATGTCATCGCAGGATGCTGCAAATGGCCGTTAATGTGGCCATCTTGCTGAGCATCATAGGTTCGATCATGTGACTGAGGAGGGAAGCTCAACTGTTGGACTTTTGACTCCAGGTTGTAAGTAGCTCCAAGGCAGATCCATCAGAACTTTGAATGGTCACTAAGCTTACCAGTCGTAATTCAAGGACTACCTGTATCTGCAGGGATCACACATGCATTCGTATAATAATAATAATAATAATAATAATAATAATAATAATAATAATAATAATAATAATAATAATAATAATAATAATAATAATAATAATAATAATAGTAAAGTTGGAAGGGACCTTGGAGGTCATCTAGTCCAACCCCCTGCTCAGGCAGGAAACCCTAGACCATTTCGGACAAATGGCTGTCCAGTTTCTTCTTAAAAACTTCCAGTGTTGGAGCATTTACCTCTTCTGGAGGCCGGTGGTTCCACTGGTTAATTGTTCTCACTGTCAGGAAGTTTCTCCTTAGTTCCAGGTTGCTTCTCTCCTTGATGAGTTTCCATCCGTTGCTTCTTGTCCTGCCTTCAGGCGCCTTGGAGAATAGCTTGACTCCCTCTTCTTTGGGGCAGCCCCTGAGATACTGGAACACTGCTATCATGTCCCCCCTCGTCCTTCTCTTCGTTAAACTAGACGTACCTAATTCCTGCAGCCTTTCCTTATATGCTTTTGAAGCATGGAACATGAATATCCAAAGGGATGATCCAGAAATAGTTCCTAATGTATGGGGCTAAGCAGTCTGTTACTGATAATCAATACAAGCTTGTTGTACCTTTTTTTTTCAGGACACTGAAATGCCCAAATTATTACATTACTTTTAGATCTGAGAATTCAGAAAAGCTAATGGAATAAACTTCTTGCAACATGGAATCCCAGGACAATATCTGATTACAGAACTAACATCCCCTAATCTGACTTAATTAAGAAACTGAGTACTGAATGATGATACCATAAAGCTGTAATTATTTATACTGTACTGCTCAAGACATAACAGAGGTTGCATGTTGAATGATATTAGCATCCTTTGCAACAACCTATTTAAATCAGACACTGACTGGAAAGAATGGAAGACTTAGTAATGAGAAGTTTCTTAAACATCTAGAAACGTTCAGATCCAATTGTTGTGTCTATGGAGATTCTCAGTCATCCAGATCATGGTGCTTTTTCAAGAGGCAACTGGACTTTCTTGTTTGTCTTTTCTTCAGCCAACACAACATATGTGCACACTTTAAACCGAAGAATACACTTGTCCACCCAAGGACAAAACACCCAGACACAAACTGAGCAACGTGGTACATGCAGTACAATGCAGTGAGTCATGTGCCAATCTCTACATTGGGGCAACGAAACAACCACTTCACAAACGCTTGGCACAGCACAGGAGAACAAACCCATCAGGACAAGAGTCAGCTGTCCATCTGCCTTTAAAGGACAAAGGCCGCTCTTTGGAAGACAGCAAAGTCCACATTTTGGACAGAGAGGACCTCTGGTTTGAAAGAGGGGTCCAAGAGGCCATCTAGGTCAACACTGAACAGCCCTCCCTCAACAGAGGGGGAGGGACACGGCATTGTCTATCTCCAGTCTACAACACGGTCCTTTCAGCCGTTCCAAGAAGGCTCCACATCCATTTGCACCACTCAGGTTGACCCTGAGGACACAGAGAAGCCTCCAGGTAGCTTTAACGACTCTCCAAAAGAAGGCAAATGATTAACTGACTGCAAGGAGTATCAATCCTTCCATTCCCCCATTCCTCAGTCAGAGCTGAAGAAGCTTCTTGGAGGAGAAGTGAAAGGTCTTCCAAGAAAAACAAGAAAGTCCAGTTGCCTCCTGAAAAAGCACCTTTGGGACATCCAATCATTGTGATTAGGTAAAATATGCAGCCAGTGTATTTTTCTTGCTGTGTCAGCTAAGAAGACTCCCTGTCTCATTTCTGCTAAATTTCTCCTAAAGGTAACGCTACTAACCTTTTGCTACTATCAGCACTTTTTTTGTCATAGAACGCACCGGAAAGGAGTTCCAGCACCTTTTTTTGATGGATTTTCCAAGTTTTAAAAGTAACTTTTGAAAATTTGACGTTTGGTCCACGTGGACTTGAATCACCCTGTTGAGCGTAGCAGGTTGGCAGCAAAATCATTAAAATGGTGTGTGCGGGCTGCATGTGTGTCGAGTCCGATGCATGCGTACTTCATCCGCGTTGGTTGTGATGGCGCTGCTCGGCTTGTGGCACTGCTCGGCTTGTGATTGGTCGTGTGATCGCGTTGAGTGCTTACTGTGAGCAGCAACCGTTATGTTTTGTTACACAACTGACGTGTGTGGGTGTGTGTACAGTGATTGACTACGTGCGAAAGGTAAATAATTTATTTTAAAAAATCGTTGGTGAATTGAAAATTTTTTTGTAAATTTTTAGTGTAAAATTTACTATGAACACTTATCTTAAATACAATAAATTAAATTTATGTTAGGAACTGAATATATAATTTTTTAAATAAAAGATTAACAAGACATGAGTTCCGGCACCCTTTTTCTTACAAAAAGAGCACCGGCTACTATACAGGTAGTACTTGACGTACGACCACAATTAAGCCCCAAATTTCTGTAGCTAAGCGAGGCAGCTGTTAAATAAGTTTTGTCCCATTTTACGACCTTGCTTGCCACAGTTGTTAAATGAATCGCTGCAGTGGTTAAAGCTAGTAACACGGTTACAAGTGCCTCCTCTGTTGACTTTGTTTGTCAACAAAGTGTTGACAAGGTGTTGCAAAAAGGGATCACACAGTTGCCAAGGGTCTGGTTTTTGATCACCTGACCCTGGGGGGAGGCTGCAAGGCTTGTAAATGGGAACAACGGTTCACAATTTTTAGTGCCATTGTAAGTCTGAATAGTCACTAACCAAACAGCTGTAAGTCGAGGACTAACTACATTCTACTCAGGGACTGCTTCATTGCTCCTGCTGACGATCTTTCCTTCCCTAAACTTTCACAGAAGTGGTTAAACTCAACATTCAACATAGACGTTTTCTTTGTTCTGATCTTGAGGATGGGAAATGTGAGGGAGGAAATGCACTACGGGCAGTCCTCAACTTATAACCATTCCTTTAGCGACCGTTTGAAGTTACAATGGCACTGAAAAAAGTGGATCGGAGACCACCTGAGCTGTGAGTTTAACTTAGAAACTGAATAAAGTCCCTGGATGTGCTTTCCAGGGACTTCTTTCAATGTCCAAGTTGAACCCACGGCTCAGGTGGTCTCCGATCCAAATTTAGCAAGAACTGAACATGGCTAGCTATCAAATCAAGGTTGGTTAGGTACTGCTATCTGCTGAGTAAACTACAACTATGTGGGTCAGCACAGCACAACGAACTGAGTCATTATGCAACTAAGCCGAAACCAAACACAACAGCCACCTGGGGAATCCTGGGAGTTGACATCCGCACACCTTAAACTTGCTAAGGTGGACAAAAAGCACTTTAAAGCACTTTCTTGGGCTTGTAATTATAACACGGTTGACAAAAACGTACTAAGCAGCAAATATTTCACAGAATCACTGCTGTGAGATAAGCAGCTGCACCAGCGGCAGAGATACATAAATACACTAAAGTTAAAACTGGCTAATTTTGGCATCTTGCATAAATTCACCAAGTTCATGACCGTCCCAGTTCAGGGTGTTATGCAAAGACAGCGAAGGATTCTTTATTAAGGTGCCCAGTCAGAACAGGCAGTCCGTGACTTACGGCCACAATTGAGCCCAACATTTCTGTCGTTAAGTGATACAGTTGTTAAGTGAGTTTTGCCCCATTTTATGATCTTTCTGTAATTCCTGAAAGCGGCCGCATCTCTTCTGAGAACGGCAGAGCTACCAACCACGCTGCAACTCCCTCCCTCCTTAGGAAAGACGTGCAGGCCGTCCTCAGATACGACCACAATTTACGTTGCTAAGCAAGACAGCTGTTTTGCCCCATTTTACAACCTTTCTTGCCACAGCTGTTAAGTGAATCACTGCAGTTGCTAAGTTAGTAACACGGTTGTTAAGTGAATCTGGCTTCCCCATGGACTTTGCTTGTCAGAAGGTCGCAAAAGGGGATCACGTGACCCCCGGGACACTGCGACCGTCATATATCTGAGTCAGACATGTCAAACACAAGGCCCGGGGGCCGGATGCAGCCCGTGAAGTGGTTTCATGGGGCCCCCGAAGCCATCCTGGAAACTGAGGGAACGGCCCCCGCTGCCTTGGCCCAGGCCGGCCGGGAGGGAGCCAATGTACAATTTTGTGGTGGCCATCTATGCTGAAACGCATTCAGTCTTAGCTCCACAAGGCCGTCTGGAAACAGCGAGGAACCGGCCCCTGCCGTGTCGGCCCTGCCCTCTGGGTGCCTGCTGGGGAGGGGTCCCCCTTTGTGAGGAATGAAGAAATGGACCATCGCCTGGAAGTGGCCAGCAAATGACCCTCGCCTACTTCACCTATCCGGCTTGATGGGCTCTGCCCTGGTCCCCCCCCCTTCTGCCAGAGACCCCCAGATCTGTCCCACTCCTGCCCAGGCCCCCACAGGCACCCTTGATGCGAACGATGTACAGCTGGCCACGCCCACCCAGTAGGCCACACCCACTCCATCCACACCCACCCAGTAGGCTGCACCCACCCTGGCCACACCCACCCACCCCCCGAGGGCAACTGCAATGCTGATGCGGCCCTCAATGAAATTGAGTTTGACACCCCTGATCTGAGTCAATTGCCAAGCATCTGAATTCTGATCACGTGACCACAGGGATCCTGTAATGGTCATAGGTGTGAGAAACGGTCCCTTTTTTCTGTGCTGTTGTAACTTGGAACGGTCACTAAACAAACTGCTGTGAGTCAAGGACTGACTGTACTTGTAACAAATGAGTCGCAGCCTCTTTGCCCCTCGTCTTTCAGCAAGCTACACAATCTCTGATCTCCTCAGGAAGCAATCCTTACCTGAAAGGCAGCTTCTCATCGTTGGGCTTGATACACCGAACATAATGGGGAGTGGTAGCATTCAGGGTCTCCATCAACAGGTGCAAAGAATTACGAAACTGAAAGAGGAAAAAAATATATAGTAACTTCAGAGGAAGCGGAAGAACGTGACAAGGCTTGTTTTGCAGGTAAAAACGGATGAAATGGCCAAGCGACTCACATTATTGTGCTGTAAGCTGGCCAGAGTTGCTCCATATAGGGAGACAGGCAGCATATAAATTTAATAATATACAATTCAGCCCAAGATTTCTATTGCTAAACGAGACATTTGCTAAGTGAGTTTTACGACTTTTCTTGCCAAAGTTGTTAAGTGGATCGCTGCAGTTGTTAAATTTGTCACACGGTTGTTAAGTTAATCTGGTTTCCCCCTCAACTTTGGTTGTCAGACGGTTGCAAAAGGGGATCACATGACCCTGGGACACTGCGACCGTCACAAATGTGAGTCAGTTGCCAACTGTCTGAATTTTGATCGTGTGACCCTGGGGAGGCTGCAATGGTCGTAAGTATGAAAAATGGTCCTAAGTCCCTTTTTCCAGTGATGTTGTAACTTTGAACGGTCACTAAATGAACTGTCGTGAGTTGAGGACTACCTGTACGGTATTTCAAGGAAGAAGCAATGACCAAGGTCCTGGGGAAAACACTGAAAGTATCTTCAACTCAGAACGAGCCCTTGTATGGCTCTGCATGCTGATGGAATCCGTGTCGTTTGAGCCTCTCCCCAAAAAGGTAGTTGGGAGAAAGATATAATATATTCATTTTAGCACAGGTTTTTTTTCTTCCTTCATACGGGGCAGTCTTGATTTCAGTCCCTCCACAGCCCTGGCAATTATTCATTGATATCATTATAACCCGGATGGGCCAGAAGGAAAGCCCCCTACAAGAAAAAGAAGGAAACGTGAAACGTGAAAAAGGGCTGCTTTGTACCTGGGTCCCCACTGTTTTCTTGTGCTCTTTGTTGGTTGCTTTCACAGTTGGACGGGCGGAGCGGATATTGATTTTGGAAGACGTTTTTTTCCCAGAAGGAGCAGCTGGAGCAGGGTCCTTTTCGTCATGGAACAACTCCACAATGGCTGGGTACTAGAAAGAAGAAATAAAAACTTGTTATCTTGCTTCGGCGATCGAGCAACAAAGCGTAATTTCTTGAAAAAGAAATATATACACTCTTCAACGGAAGAAGGTGAAATCCACACCAAATACCAGCAGTATCAGTGTTAATGAAACCGAAGCACCTTCGTATATTCCTAAAACTAAACAAAACGGGGTGCCTCATTGTATTGCTTGCTATTGTTTGTATTATTATTATTTTTAATCTCTTGACGGCAGGCCCACCCAGGGGAATGTTGAGAGAACTGGTCTGTTGGAGCAGGACTAGGCCCATCTAACCAGCATTCTAACTGACATCTCCATCTCGGTTTAGGAAGCTCACAAATAAAAGATCAAGCTAGCTCTCTTTCCAAGGCTGCTTCCATCTGCTCAGTATGTACGGATGGGTAAGTCATAGAAGATACCGTACGATCAAAGGACTGGAAGGGACCTTGGAGGTCTTCTAGTCCAACCCCCTGCTCAAGGCAGGAGACCTTATATCATCCCGGTCAAATGGTTGTCCAGACTGTTTTTGAAAACCTCCAGTGATGGAGCACCCACAACCCCAGGAGGCAAGCTCTTTCATTGATTAATTGTTCTCATTGTCAGAAAATGTCTCCTTATTTCTCTCTTCAGTACAAGCTTCCACCAATTACTTCTTATCCTGTTCTCTGATGCTTTGGAGACTAAGTCAGTCCGCTCTTCTCTGGGAGAGCCCCTCAAGTACTGGAAGAGAGCTACCATGTACCCCCCAACACACCCCAATCCTTCTCCTCAGCAGAGTAGACATGCCTGGCTCCCTCAGTTATTCTCCACATGTATTGGACTTCAGACCCCTTATTATTTTTGTTGGTTTTCTCCACACACTTTCTATGGTCTCAGCATCTCGTTTGTATTGTGGTGACCAAAACTGTATGCAGCATTCCACGTTTGGCAACTTTAAGATCTACGGACTTCAACTCCCAGAATTCCCTAGCCAGCATGGCTGGCTAGGGAATTCTGGGAGTTGAAGTCCACAGGTCTTAAAGTGCCGAGATTGAACACCCCTGGTGTAGTGTTGAGAATTTACTCTGTTCCTTCTTTATTATTGAATCTCTCTGCTCTTTGCCCTAATCTGAGGTTGCTTCCTTCTGATTTTCTTCCCCACATGTATGCACAAGGCACATGTTGTTGCATGTAGTGGGTTTGGTACTAGGCCTTGCCTATTCCTATAACAGTCCCCCTTTAAAAAAACAAAAAAACACAACCTTCCTAACTTGCTTCACTAATTTTTGTTCAGGTCAGATTTCTGCTTTCGAGAATGTTCACAGGCATCCCAAAGGGGGCTTCAACCTCTAACACAGTGTTTCTCAACCTTGGCAACTTGAAGAGGTATGGACTTCAACTCCCAGAATTCCCCAGCCAGCTGTGCTGGCTGGGGAATTCTGGGAGTTGAAGTCCATACCTCTTCAAGTTGCCAAGGTTGAGAAACACTGCTCTAACATGTCTGCCCCATTTGCTAGAATAACAAGAAGCAGCCCATTCTCACAACTGTTTTCATTAAGACAAGACCACATTTTGTCATCTGGTGCTTCCCGAGATTGATTAGCTCAATTCTGTTTCCATGTTTGCCAAAAGCCTCTTGAAGAAACAATCTGTCTCCACAGAGAGGTTTTCTGACTTGACACACCGCTGTTGATCTGCTTCATAACCGCAAATTTTATTTTAATATCAGCTGCCAAGAAAACCCCTTTGTCCATCTCCTGCTCCAGCCAGCTTTCCTTGTTTTAACACCTTCAGGAACGCTGGTCACCTCCTTCTTGAGGGAAATTCTCTATCTGCTATCCCTCTAATTCATGGATTAGGCCAGGAGTAGGCAACCTGGGCTCTTTTATGACTTGTGGACTTCAACTCCCAGAATTCCTGAGCCAGCCATGCTGAGGGGAAAGGGAGAGGTTTCCAAGCTGAGCCATGCTGGCTCAGGAATTCTGGGAGTTGAAGTCCACAAGCCATAAAAGAGCCAAGGTTGCCTACCTCTGGCCTAGGCCCCTTCATGACTGGTGGACTTCAACTCCCAGAATTCCTCAGCCAGCCTGGCTCAGCTTGGAAACCTCTCCCTTTCCCCTCAGCATGGCTGGTTCAGGAATTCTGGGAGTTGAAGTCCACGAGTCATAAAAGAGCCGAGGTTGCCCACCCCTGGATAAGGACGATAAAGATTCCCTGTGCTTTTTTCAGAATCCGCCTTTTCAGATGTACACAGTAGAGCTCCACAGTAACCAATTTATAGCCAGTCCTTCACTTATGACCACAACCGGGAGCAGAAATGCCATTTTTAAGTAATGTGGGTGATAAGTGAGTTGCGCGTGATTTTACAACCGTTTTGTTGCGATCATTAAGTGAATCGCCATAGTCGTTAAGCGAATCTCGCTTCCCCCATTGACTTTGCTTTTTGGAAGCCCCCTTGGAGTGCACTGATTGGCAATAACAAGGAAGTCCAGCGGCCTCCGGAAAAAGCACCTTTGACCTGGATGACGGAGAACCTCCATTGACATTGAGCCCTGCGCTTTGGGATGGACGCCCTTCGGAGGGTGCAGGAGCACGAATGGATTTCCAGAAAACATTGCAGACCACAGGAACCGTCTGCGCTTCAGTTGGAGATGCAGACAACACAAAACTCATCCCCCTCAGCCTGGACACATCTTCAGCAGTGAAGGGACCCAGGGCAGGAAACATCCTGCAGCCAAGGAGGCCCCACACCCATTTGCACCACTCAGGAGACCCTGAGGACACAGAGATAAACCTCCGAGTGGCCTCAACAACTCCCTAAAAGGATGCAAATGACCAGCTGTCTGCAAGGAGTATAAATCCTTCCATTCCCCACCATCTGGTCAGAGCTGAAGAAGCTTCATAGATTAGAAGCGAAACATCTTCAAAGAAAAAGAAGAAAGTCCAGTTGCCTCCTGAAAAAGCACCTTTGGGACAACCATGACCTGGAGGATGGAGCATCTCCCTAGACAATTGGCAATAACATGGCCCTGGGACACTGCCATAGTCAAAAGTGCAAGGACTGGCTGTAAGTCGCATTTTTCAGCACCACTGTAACTTCAAACAGTCACTAAACCAATGTTCATAAATCAAGGACTATCTGTATTACTGGTATGATGTACTGTCTATAGCAGGGCTAGGCCACCTTGGTTCTTTTATGACTGGTGGACTTCAACTCCCAGAATTCCTGAGCCAGCCTGGCTCAGCTTGGAAACCTCTCCCTTTCCCCTCAGCATGGCTGGCTCAGGAATTCTGGGAGTTGAAGTCCACCAGTCATAAAAGGGCCAAGTTGGAAGACCCCTACCCTAGGCCTAGAGTCTAGACCAGAGGTAGGCAACCTGGGCTCTTTTATGACTCGTGGACTTCAACTCCCAGAATTCCTCAGCCAGCATGGGGGAAACTTTGGCCCCTTCATGACTGGTGGACTTCAACTCCCAGAATTCCTGAGCCAGCGTGAATCAGCTTGGAAACCTCTCCCTTTCCCCTCAGCATGGCTGGTTCAGGAATTCTGGGAGTTGAAGTCCACCAGTCATAAAAGGGCCAAGGTGGGCCTACCCCTGGTCTATGACAAACAGTCTTGCCCAAAATCGCCCAGGGCTGAGGGTGAGGGTGAGTGGTGAAAGGGCCCAACAGACGGGCAGAATGACTGTGGGTCAGAGGGGGTCAGCTCTCTACCAGATCACACACTGAGATCACCCCAAAAGTTTCCATCTCACCCAACGTCCCAGGAGCCCTGAGCCAAATGCTTCTAAGAAATCCACAAATAAGTTACAGCAGACGACACTCCAACCCCAGATTTTCCAATCCCGCCCAGGGCTCGATTATACACCTCTTGTGACGAATCAGCGTTCATAATTTTAAATGGCGCCAGGCACAGAAATTGTTCGACATTTTTAGCACCAGTTCTCAGGCAGAACGGCAAGTGGCTCTGAAAAATTTATTTTCCGCGGAGAAGAAAATTCCTCCAGTGGCCTAGCTCGTACCTCTTGCATCCCAAGATGGCCTCCGGGCTGCATGAATATTCTGACTTTCATTTTATAATCCCATCCAAGTATGAACCCTTTCCAGCCCATTTCACTTTCTCACACTCAAGCCTGAGGCTTCCACTTTCTTTGAGGGCCGTTAGGATGAAGCTAGTCCTCATGGTCCACGAGAATAATAAAAAAATCCAGCCAGGAGAGAAGCTCCCCCCCTACACACACACACACACACACACACACACACTCAGTCAGTCTGCAAAATGCTTTTGTCTCTAACCCAAGGACCACCTTGCTCAAAATGCCAAACTCCCTTTTGTGTTCCTCGTTTGCCTCTTTTTATAGCCCGTTCTTTGTCCGTTCCTGGTGCACGTGAGTCTGACAATGGCCTAAAATTAACCTGCCATTGAAATGGTGTTATCTCCTCCAGGCAGCCTAGTCTGCATCCTAAGCCCTTTGAAGGAAGCGGCTCGTGAACGCAGCTGCCTCCTCCCCAACGGAAGCTAATTTTCCCATCCTTCTTACGGGAATTTTTAACAGATGTCTGTCTCCTGGTCAAAGCAAACCCCAGGAGATTAAGAAAAAAAATCCTGTCAAAAGGGAGAGAAGCAAGCCCTCCCCTCTGCAGAGTCTCCAATAAAAATAAATTGGACTACCCTTTAAGAAAATCTATTTTCAGCAGGGAAGCAGCCTGTGGCTCCTTCTGGCATTCAGTGTCAAGGCATAGAGAATTGCTAAGTTCTGCAGTTCTATAGGTAGCATACATGAACGCGCAGCACGAAGGCATAGAGGTAAACCTCGACTTATAATTATTCATTTGGTGAACATTCAAAGTTACAACGGCACTGAAAAAAGTGGGACTTATGACGGGGATTCATCGGCTGTTTGCAGCATCTCCCTGTACACGTGATCCAGTTCAGATGCTCGGCAACTCGCGTGTGCCTATGGCAGCTGCACTGTCCCCGGGGCCATGGGGTCGCCAGTTATAACCTTTCCAGCTGGTCCCAACAAGCAAAGTTGTGTCCCCCCTCAAGATTTGAAAGAAATCCAGAAGATTAATTCATCTCCAGTGGTTTTCTTGAGATACACCTTGCTTTTTGCACTGTGATCTCACAGTGTACACTTGCTATAAACTAGATCTTAATATTGTCCATTTGCGTGGACCTCATGCTATCAGCCAAGATGTTCTTCTGCACAAATTAACCAGAACGGAGCCATCAAAAATGAAAGGAGAAGGAACTTCAGCCATAAATAACCTATAATGCCAGAATACGACAATCCAATCTATTTTTCCCACTGGTAACTTTACCTTGCCGGCCTTCAGAATATTGATCTGTTCTTCGTGGACTGTGTCTCTGTTTTTTTCCAAAAAGCCCTCACAATAATATTCCACCTAGAAAAGTTTCCAGAACCAGAGTTTGGGTAGGAAAAGAAAAAGAAAAATTAAAATTGTGAGTACAAATCTTATCAAACAAATTAAGATATTCTTAAATAATACGGACAATATGTCCCTATAGTTTTCTTTTCAAAATACTCTTTTTTAAAATGAGGCAGCCTAAAACCAGAATATATTACAAAATGCTAAAATATTTGGATCTCAATTTCTACATTAATTCAAACTGAACTGGGTGTATGCTCAGATGCACAAAAGACTAGTTTAGCGTTATCTGTTGTGTTCTGCAATTATCAAAACTAGGTGCTTATTAATAAAAGACTGGCTTTTAACCTGGTTAAAAGTGTGCTAATGTGGCTGGAGGATGGGTAGAACCATTTTTTTCCACTGGGGGGAAATCTCTGGCCTTCTGCACAAAGTGGTTGATGTTATGATTGAGGATGATTTGCCCTCCGTTGTAAGAGACACCCGGTGCAGTTTCCGTCATCTAAGCTCACTAGGAACTCTTAGAAAACTGGCAGCTGTGCTCTTCAAGAGTCACAACGGAGTCAAAGGAGGTGAGAAACTGTGGCTACTTAAAAGCACCAGGGTAACGTCAGAGTTGAGAGTTTAGACCAAGCCTTCTTTGTTGAAAGGGGCCTGCAACCTTGACAACATTCCTGAGGTTGAAACTCAAGTCCTTTGGCCACCTAAGGAGAAGGAAGGACTCCCTAGAGAAGAGCCTGATGCTGGGAAAGATGGAGGGCAATAGAAGAAGGGGACGACGGAGAAGGAGGGGGCTGGATGGAGTCACTGAAGCAGCAGGCGTGAACTTAAATGGACTCCAGAAGATGGTAGAGGACAGGAAGACCTGGAGGAACGTGGTCCATGGGGTTGCGATGGGTCGGACACGACTTCGCAATTAACAACAAAAGGCCCCTGTTTGTTGAGTATCAAATTTTGTCTCCTGACCGATGGGAATTATACCCTACTTCTGAGAAACGGGTTTGTTTAGCAGGTGCTACTAACAACATAAAAGAGAGCTAGAATAAGGGAAAGTGCAGACGTACCACTTTTGTCTTTCAAATCCAACACTGCATCACCATGATTCTCACTACTACGCAATTAGATGCAAAGAAGAGAGGATCTAAAACTCTTTTTCAATCTCACTCTAAATTCCAATTTTCAATTCATTTGTAAATTTTTTTCTTCTGCCTTTAGATTTCAAAGGTGAAAGGAACGTGAATAAATAGCAGCTGCCAGGAGCTCCGGTGGCCCAGTGGTTAGAATGAGCTATTGCAGGCAAACTCTTACCCACAGCCCGGAGTTCGATCCTGACGGGGCACAAGGCTGACTCAGCCTTCCGTCCTTCCGAGGGTGGTAAAATGAGGACCCAGATTGTCAGGGGCAATATGTAAATAATGCTTTTACACTGTAAACCACCCGGATAGTGCTGTAAAGAGCTACGGGGCAGTATGTAAGTTTAAGTAAGATAAGATAAGATAACCTTTATTGTCATTTTTTTTTCTGTGGGCACAACGGCACACATCGAAAATGCTTAAAGAGATCGATTGATCAGCTTAAAGAGATTGATTGATTGATGGATTAGATATGTATAGGATAGATTAATATTTTATTTTAAATAAGGGATATTAGTGGAAGAAGAAATAAATAAGATTTATGATAAAATTAAGGAACTAGAACATATTTGGAAGGGATACCTGAATTGATAATGTTTTTTATTTAAAGTTAATTTGATTACGGTATTGTAAATTTATAAAGCTTTAAAAACAGGTCCAGGTTGAATAAATTTAAGCTAGAATTGGATTATTTTAAATAAATTATGTTATTTAAGGGAAAAAGAGAGGGAATACTTGATGTATTGATTGAATTATGTATATATGTTTTGTTTTTAGATGTTTGACTACCCTAGCACCACGGTGTGTCTTGAGCACTTTGTCTTAAGAATAAAAAAACCAATAAAATTTGTTTTAAAAAAAAATGAAATTTAGTGCTATTGCTATTCTAGCTAGTAGAGGCAACCAACACACAAGGGCTCCCCAGGTCAAAAGGAGATGTCAGCACAATTAGGGAGAAAGGCTGGACCTGTACCACACCCTCTCAAAGTCTCTCTGTTGCCACTACCTTATCTGCAAAGTGCACAATAATGAATGCCATGTTCGACATGCGAGGCTTCTGGAAATGCTGACTGCTTCCGTGGCGATCATAGAGTTTCTGAGCCCAGTTCTCGTCTGTCCCTTTAGGGACCTGTTTTAAAAGAAAAGAAGAGAAAGACAATTATTCCAAAATGCCAGGACATACAGTAAATCATTATTCTGAATGTATTGTTCTGAATGGGAACCTGCATTTTCACTACAAAACAATGCAACTATCAGGCTTGTCAGATGCTATATTTTTTCCTATCCTGCTCCATGGAATAGAGAGTAGTGGTCTCTGACAGAAGGCCACCTGAAGAGACTAGAAGCATTTGAAATGTGGATTTACAGGCGGTTGTTACGTAGAAGCTGGGTTGACAAGATCAGAAATGAGGAGGGGATAAGCTACCCGGGAAAGCCAAGGGAAATCATCAAAACAATTAAAAAACGAAAGTTAGAATATTTCAGACATGTGAGGCGACACCCAGAAAAATACGGCATGCTCCATTTAATCCTCCAGGGAAAGATGGAAGGCAAACGAGATCCAGGCAGAAGAAGAACATCGTGGCTTCAAAATCTAAGGGACCGGTTTGGACAAAACTCAGCAGCAGTTTTTCGTGCGGCTGCTGATAAAAACAGGATCGCCAACAGGATCGCCAACGTCCGATAATGGATATGGCACAAGAAGAGGAAGAAGAGAATGCAACTATCTCTATCTGGAGAACCTCTAAGCTGTGCTTATTGGAAAACCACATCTCACATTCGCTTACGTGACGTGTATTCAAGGACAAAATGACATGCATACAAGTAATCCTCAACCTACAACCACAATGGGGACCGGAGCCTCTGTTACTAAGTGATGCGGTCCAGACTTTTATGGTCCAGATTATTTAATTTGACACAGTCCATATCAAATATTTCATTTTAATTAGGTTTTAAAGTGGGTATTTTTATCTCTGTATTTGTTTTACCAGGCTGTCAGCCGCCCTGAGTCCGTAAGGAGAAGGGCGGGATAAAAATCCAAATAATAAATAAATAAAATAAATAAATAATGGCTTAAAAATAAACAAAACATTCATAGCTCTTAAGTACTTATTTACTTGTCATAACGGTTCTTTTCCTTGACACTTTCATATTGTTTTTCTATAAGGAAACAGTAAACAAACATTTGTGCAGAAATTAAAGGAGTATTCACGCTGAATCTTTTCTTCCACCAAACTAAGCGGGACTAACTTTCACCGTGAACGGCAGTAACTTTTCCAGATTTAAAAGAGCCAACAACCCAAAGCTGAAACGAAGAGGTGCAGCAAACATCCATTTCACAGTCAACTCAATGTAATGTCTTAGCTTTTAAGCTCACTATCTTCAAGGTAATAATCAAAGCTATCTCTTTTTTATTTAATTAGTATCCCACATCAAACAAATTAAAAGGATATTTTAGATAATTTTACAATATCATGAGGACATGAGACTCCTGCTTCCAAAAACCTCTCAATAAATTGGAATAATGCTTCAGTAAAACCTTTTTTGCAGAGTTTGCAAAATTCTGCCCACCAACTTATTTTTATTCAAACTCCAATGACATGAGAGAGGCTGCAGAGTGTTTGTGATAAAAAGACATTGTTCAACAATTCTTTTTTTTTCTTCCCTTCACAGATGGGGAAAAACTGAGAGAACAAACGGTACCAGGACCTTCATAAATTTCTATGAAGGAGATACTTTAGAGCTGACATGCAATAAAAACACTCTGGCATCTGCCTAAGAACAGATGGGAGACATGACAGCAGTGTTCCAGTATCTGAGGGGCTGCCCCAAAGAAGAGGGAGTCAAGCTACTCTCCAAAGGACCTGAAGGGAAAACAAGAAGCAACGGATGGAGACTAACCAAGGAGAGAAGCAACCTGGAACTAAGGAGAGATTTCCTATCAGTGAGAGCCATCAACCAGCGGAATAGCATGCCTTCAGAAGTGGTGGGTCCTCCATCACTGGAGGCTTTTAAGAAGAGACTGGACAGTCATTTCTCTGAAAAGATATAGGATTTCCTGCTTGAGCAGGGGGTTGGACTAGATGATCTCCAAGGTGCCTTCACACTCTATTATTCTATGTTCCATGTTCTGTATATCTCTTGTTAAAACGCAGAGAGTCCCACCGTGTTCAGGGAAGGAACATGGCTGCTGATTGTAGATAGGAAGCTGGAATCATATTTAGCAACAATTAAGTTCTACTGATATCAGCGGGCTTACTTGAACTTAGCAAAATCTGGATACCATCAACTGACTTTGAACTGACCCAGGTTCTTTGGAAATAGTCTACCTGTTTCCCCAATGACTGACTTGTTTTCTTGCATGTTGTGTTTTCATGAAAATGCTCATGAGGTGTTAGCGCAAGACTTCCCGAAGATATCGTCTTACTATAAACACTGAACAATTATAAGTTTGGGGGAATTTTTTTTACCTTACATTCTTCATCCAGCAGGTCCAGGATGCCCAGCTTAGCTTCTATAAGGTCTATGCATGGCTGATTGTCATAAAAGTCAATGAGGGTCCAAGGAATTTCCTCCTTCATGTACTCATCTTGTTCCAACTTAAAGACATGCTGTGGCAGAGAAAGACAGTAAGCGTTTAACTGTTGTCTGGAAAGGCCACTTCAATAAACCCCAAATATAGGCAATCCTCGATTTATAAACATCCGTTCAGGGACCATTCAAAGTTTCAATGGCAGTGAAAAAAGTGGCCTGGGACCATTTTTTACACTCCACTGGGGTCACCTGATCAAAACTCAAATACTTGGCAACTGACTCGTATTTATGACTGTTGCAGCACCCTAGGGTCACGTGATCCCCTTTTGCAACCTTCTGACACGCAAAGCCAATGTGGAAGCCAGATTCACTTAACAACCGTGTTACTAACTTAACAGCCGCAGTGATTCTCTTAACAACTGTGGCAAGAAAGGTTTAAAATGGGGCAAAACGCAACAACTGTCTTTGGGCTCGATGTGGGCTCATAAGTTGAGGACTTCCTATAATCACTGCAGCCCAAGTGGCTGTTTAAAAACTTGAACACCCTGGCTGTAGCTTGTTGTTTGTTCTCCAGATTTAATCTTTTCTAAAAAAAACCCTTAAGATTCCTATACTTTCTTTTGGCATTTATAATCTTTTGCACATTAAAGGTTATTTATACTACAGGCAACGAACAGCTAGAAGAACTGAATTCAAGAAAATAAAATGAAATTCTGAGCCATTGATGTGTCTCAGAGTAGCAAATCTATTATTCTCTAAGGCTGCAAGGACATTTTTGGTTGAACACCAATCCTTTTAGAAGCATGCGATAATTGCATTAACCATAGGTATCCCATAATTTAAACACAACAGTCTGAAAAAAGGTTTTAAAACTTAACTATGCAACAAAATTTATCTATTTTAGGGAGATTCCCACAAAAAACGAGGAAGTAAAAGAAGCCACATCCAAAACAGTAGATTTCACCTTAAATCTTGTTATTTTTACAGTTGGTTCCACAGTGACAGCTGTAACTGAGATCTGGGTTGACATTTAATATAGAATCACGTTCAATTTCAGAGATCAGGGATCATAGATTCTATTGCAGTAAATGCAAATATATATATATATATATATATATATAATAAAACAAAAATCATACTCATGCATAAAAACTACTTTATATATAAGGGCAGGAATATTAACGATTTGAAATCATGCACAAGTAATAGCTGAGTTCCAACTGCTGTAATATGAATCGCTTGTAAGTATCTAAAAACATAATGTATTAGGCTATTAAGGAAACAAGCAGCAGAAAACAGAATTTTCGCATGGATTGATGAATATCTTAAAATAAATATTTCACCCTCTCTGTCAATCCAGTACACTGTGTTACTATGAAAAATTGCCTTTAGGGACTTTTTAATTAATATGGGCAAAATCAATAGAAAGCAAAATGAGCAAAATAAAACAGAAAATCATTAGAGGTTTTTTTGTTTTTTGTTTTTAAACAACACTGGAAATTATTGAAAAAGCCACAGGGGAGATAAAACTTATAAAACTTTGGAGAATGGAAGCAGCTAAAAATTGTGACGATATGCAGAACTGGGAATGTAGGGCTAAGGATTCTGAGTGTTTTTAAAAAAGGGAGTATCTGCCATTCTTAAACTGAAGGAAAGTTTAATTTCCTTTTTCTGGGTCTTCCAATGCTGTTTGTTTATTTATTACAGAAGCTGAGGAACTTTCAAGAGTTATGCTAGCTCGCTCATACAATTATTATATAGTTATATAACACAAATATAGTGGGGTTCCTAATCTGAAATATTATTTAAAAGGATTTCAGCTGAGAAATTGCAAATCAACATATTTTCACAGTGGGAACTCACATAATTTCCATCTAGTAAACAGAACTCATCAAAAATTTATTTGCTTTTTAATAGCAACGGGTGGAAACTGATCAAGGAGAGAAGCAACCTGGAACTAAGGAGAAACTTCCTGACAGTGAGAACTATTAACCAGTGGAACCACCTGCCTCCAGAAGCGGTGAATGCTCCAACACTGGAAGGTTTTAAGAAGAGGCTGGACAGCCATTTGTCCGAAATGGTATAGGGTTTCCTGCCTGAGCAGGGAGGTGGACTAGATGACCTCCAAGGTCCCTTCCAATTTTTTATTGTTGTTGTTGTTTGTTGTTGTTGTTGTTGTTGTTGTTGTTGTTGTTATTATTATTATTATTATTATTATTATTATTACAAATAGAATGGTTTAGCAGATAAACCTCATGAACATATTAGACCCCCAAAATTATTTGTATATCTTGTTCATTTATTGCATTCCTAAAACAATTTAAGGTACAGAATATTTTGGATATCTTTGTATTCTTTGGCCCACCCCAAAGATACTAAAAAAATTGACAATCCAAATTACCGAATTGAATTGCTGCTGTAATTTTTCATTGGCGTAATTGATGCAGAATTGTTCAAAGCTATTATATTCAAAGGTTTCAAACCTGCAAAACAAAAGAATATTCTTAGACAAAGATTTCAAAGAATAGTTTCTGGAAAAATAATCATTAATATTTACAGATTAATTATTGTACTATTTTTATAAGTCACCCTGGGAATCTAATTTGAGAGAGTTATTAAAATGAAGTTTCCAGTTTGGAAATATCAGTGAGACCTTAGCTTAATTTTCCCAATCCAGAATCTTACAGATGCACAGATAGCTATCACAGGACGCAATTCTGGATCTGTAATTCCAACATATTTGGAGAACATTATATTGGGGAAGAAACGTTTAGGCTAACATATTCAGCAATCCCATCGCTCACCCTCTCAAAGAATCCAAATTTCAGTGGCTAGAACACTGACCTAGTCCCTGGGTCACAGGAACCACAATTTTAAATTTCTCACAATGACACTAGGACAGAATCAAGAGATTAGGGAAAATTTTAAGTGCTTCTCAACATTCTAATGTTTTTTACTGTATGAAGTCCAATCTTAGAATTCACCAGATTCTTAATTGAGCAGCAATTTAATTTTTTTCCCCAATTAAATTTGTGTGTGTGTATATATATGTGTGTGTGTATAGATAGATGATATATCTATATAGATAGAGATAGATAAATAGATATAGAGAAAGATAGAGATAGAGATAGAGATAGAAGCAGAGAACATTTGAAGGCAGCTGTACAACACCATTAAAAATATTTTATGAGACAAGTTTGAATAGTTTATTATTTTGGGTCTGACAAAATCCTGAGTAAGATCTATAGAGGAATAATACCTCTGGATACAAAAGAAATGTTGAAGAATCAAAAGGAAAAAAAATGTGATTCTTTCTATTCAAATAAGAAAGATTATCAGATGATGAAAGCCTAATTACCAGACTGCTTTCATTAGACCCTATATAGATAAAGGGCTTAAAATAGTTCTGCACTGTCATTTTAAGGAGATCCACACGTAACTCTACATTAATATACAGGCACGTTCCCTTAAAACTTCCATTTTTTCCCAATTTTATCAGATTAAGTACTCCTCTGTTGTCAAGTGTAACAGCTTAAATGAAACCAACCAAGTAAAATGAAAGCTTAAGATAATACCATTACATTTTATGGTTTTTAAGCATGTTGCTGTAATGGAAATCCAATCTCCTGTTTTAAAATCGATTAACAAAATGTCTTCCTTGAGATACAGTTTAATACCCTCGCCTTGCATTCTTTTCAACTAGGGCTTTGATTTGGGCTTTGCTTTAACGGATCTGATTCCTATCTATTGTCAAATAAAGTGGGAACTCCATTGCTTCCCGCTACTGTATGAAATCAAACACCGAAACATCCAGAGATCCCGACTTAACTCTTCCCAAAGTCACTCGTCTGAATCACACTGTGCCCTTAAATCCAGATCTCAGCAAACAAAACGCAAGCTCTCTTCTCCTGTCTAATGGCGCCTACAAAGGTTTGTAAGCCATGCTGATAGGGAAGGGAAAGGGGAATTCTCTACAACAGGGGTCCCCAACCCCAGGTCGGTGGACCGATACCGGGCCGCGGCATGCCAGCAACCAGGCCGCACAAACAAGCAAAGCCCCATCTGCGGGATGCAGGCAGCACACAAAACCATGCACACTCCGGTCCGCGGAAAAACCTCTCTCCACGGAACCGGTCCCTGGCGCCCAAAAGGTTGAGGACCTCTGCTCTACAAGGATACACCCTGGAATGGCATTCTCTAGGCCCAGGAACAGGAATCCAATTGTGTTTGAGTCTAGAGTGTGGAGTTCATCTCCGTTTCTTAGCCGAGGGAGCCAGTGTTGTCCAAAGACACTTCCGTGCTCATGTGGCTGGTGTGACTATACATGGAATGTTGTTACCTTCTCACCAAAGTGGTACCTATTTATCTACTTGCCTTCGCGTGCTTTCAAACTCCCAGGTTGGCAAGAACTGGGACAAATAATGGGAGCTCTCCTCACTGCACGGCACTCAGGTCTCAAACATGAGCTGTCAGCTTTCCAGTTGACAAGCTCAGCAACTTTAATCGCTGAACCGCTGCGCCCCTTTCAGACAGATGCCACTGGATGGCAGGGTCACTGCCCAGAGTTGCTCTTTGAGGAAGATGGGCAGTTTCTAAACATCAGACAAATCCCCTTCTCACCCCCAGGAACGGCCTCGTCTTCCTCAGTCTCAGGTCCTCTACCAGAATCTGGGAGTTTGAAGATTCTGCACGGTTATCTTAGCTGTTCTGATGTCGTTCCTGGGACCCGTCAGAGCCCAACTTAGGAGTCACAGCCGCAACCACTTTGGCCCTCCATTTCCACATTCGTTCAAGTTCCTCTTTCAGCCTCTGACACTTCTCCAGCTTTTCCTTCTTCCTGATGCTGCTGTCCCCTGGCACCGCTATGTCTGTCACCACTGCTGTCTTCTGGTCCTTGTCTACTACCACAATGCCTGGCTGACTGGCTAGCGCAGTGGTGGTAAACCCATGGCACGGGTGCCAGAGGCAGCATTCAGAGCCCTCTCTGTGGGCACGCGTGCCGTCGCCCCAGTCCTAGGCCTTCAGCTGGCTTTTATAAAACCTTTTCGCTTTAGGCCTCTGCCACCATGTGTAAAAAAAAAAGGTTCAATCAATCAGTCAATTTCAACTTCTCGCAGAAAAAAAAAAGATCTTGCAAAGTTGGAATTGATTGATTGAACTTTTTAGCCCCACTCAGTCTGCCGTTACCACCGCAGCCACGCCCACCCAATGGGCCACACCCACCCAATGGGCCACACCCACCCAATGGGCCACACCCACCCGGCACCCAACGATGCATAAGTGGGTTTTGGGTTGCAGTTTGGGCACTTGGTCTCTAAAAGGTTCGCCATCACTGGGCTTGCGGCTGCCTGCCTGTATCTGCAAGTCCCACAGGACCCTAACCCTCATATTCTCCATGACTTTCTGTGGGAACTCTCACCTGGACCTGTGCAGAGTTTCCTGTACACAGTGGTTTTGCCGTTCAGGGAATGCTGCTCCTGCCTGCAGCTTGCACCCTGCCACTATGTACTGGAGTGTCTCTGAGGCCTCTTTGCCGTAGTCTGCATCTTGACTCCTATCTACGGCGGTCGATCTGTGCTTCCATGGATCTGGTGCTTCGTGCCTGTGCATATATAAAATCTCTCCCCTGCATCATCACGAGGATGAGGATGCATCAAAGAAGCCTCACTTTAGCATCCTTACTCATCTCCAACATTATGTAGCTTATCCTCTTCTCTGTTCAATACATCTGATTAAGACCAATCCGGAGGCACCTGGCCTTCTGGCCTATGGGTGACAGTAGCGGGCTTAATGCATCGGTTGGTTTTATCACAGTCCTCAAGAACTTTCCCGCTTCATCTGTCAAGCAACAAGCAGAACTCGTAATAATCGTGAGAACTCCTGATCAATAAACTTTATTAAAGCTATAGGTTTTGATAGAAGCCACATCCAGAGGATTATAGTAACATGTGGTGTTTCCAAGATCAAAATCTATATTTAAAACAACAGACAAATGCTTCTGTGCTAGCTCTTGTTTCCAACTTACGTAAGAGACTACAGGTCCCCGTCTTCTAAAGTGGGGCATCCATCTTTCTGCAACAGTCACATCTGCTCCTACCACGTTGATTTTAACTGACTGCGAGAACTAGGGCACCCACACACTTCTGACCCCGGAGACATGACAGACCTTTTCTCCTGCACGCGGAGAGGGCTAGAGCAGCCCCCTGTGTTCATAACACAACTTATTACACCCAGAGAGATACTTAAGCTGTGGAGGTTCTACAGCCTTCATAAACGCATCCAAGTCTGTTCCAGCTGTGCTTTACCGGATTTGAAACATATGAATTTGAAAACAGCAACATACCCACAAATTGCCTTTGATGCCCTTTGTGCCAGCGTGCCAAGATTCCTCCCTACAAATTGCTCGACAAATTCCGAGTGTTGTTGTTATGCTCCGGCAGGCAAGAGAAAAGAGCCACACCACATGTCAGTGCTGCCATCCTGCTCCATCTAATAATCTCCACGGGGCTGATGCGAGGCTCCCATAAGCCTGGGCAGGTGGGGGGGGTGGGAGAGGGAGCAGGGGAGAGGGAGTCAACACATGGGGAGAGAATAACCAGAAACTGAAACTACACCGAATGCCTGGCAGAGGCACCGGCCAGACGGTCCCAAGGCCACAAGTGTGGAATGCAATGTGGAGCATCACAGAGCCTGTCAAGAATCAGGACTGTTGCCTAAACAATTTATTGCAATCCCACTGGGCACTAAACAGGTAAGGGAGGGAGGGGGTCTGGGAAAGGGGAAAGTCAGTGGGCAGATTTTGTGCGACCGAGTTGGGCCCAACACCACAACTTACTAAACTCCACTGCCTGGAGATTGCCCTGCCAAGCAAGGAATGCCCAGGAATGCCACAGCCGATCCTAGCAAATGCAAGCAAAGGGGCAGAGGAACGGGATCCTGAAAAGGATACAGGAGGATCTGGACAGACTTGAACACTGGGCGCTATCTAACAAAATGAAATTCAATGGTGTGAAAAGTAAGGTTCTACATTTAGGCAAGAAAAACCAAATGTACATGTATAGTTTAGGGGGTACCTGGCTCAATAGTAGCAACTGTGAGAGGGATCTCGGAGTCCTAGTGGACGATCCCTTAAACAGGAGCCAGCCGTGTGCTGCAGCTGCCAAAAAAGCCAACACAGTGCTGGGCTGCATTAACAGAGGGAGAGAATCAAGATCACATGAAGGGTTAATACCACTTTACAAGGCCTTAGTAAGGCCACACTTGGAATATTGCATCCAGTTTTGGTCACCGCGATGTAAAAAAGATGCTGAGACTCTAGAAAGAGTGCAGAGAAGAGCAACAAAGATGATCAGGGGACTGGAGGCTAAAACATACGAGGAACGGTTGCTGGAATTGGGTATGTCTAGTTTAACAAAGAGAAGGACAAGGGGGGACATGATAGTAGCCTTCCAGTATCTCAGGGGTTGCCCCAAAGAAGAGGGAGTCAAGCTATTCTCCAAAGCTCCTGAAGGCAGGACAAGAAGCAATGGATGGAAACTCATCAAGGAGAGAAGCAACCTGGAACTAAGGAGAAACTTCCTGACTGTGAGAACAATTAACCAGTGGAACAACCTGCCTCCAGAAGCGGTGGATGCTCCAACACTGGAAGTTTTTAAGAAGAGACTGGACAGACATTTGTCTGAAATGGTACAGGGTTTCCTGCCTGAGCAGGGGGTTGGACTAGATGACCTCCAAGGTCCCTTCCAACTTTATCATCATCATCATTATTATTATAAGCTCGTTGCTCACCCATAGATGTCCAGCACGCCAATGAAGGAATGCTGCTTGACCGTCGTGTGCAAGGCCTTGTTGATGTGCTGCACAATCCAGCTGAACAGCTGGGCGTAGATGTGCTTGGCCAGCGCATTCCTGGCGTTGACGGCCTGCTGGAGGGACATGTTCTTGGTGTAGGTTTCCGAAGTGGTGACCAGCTTCCGATGGCAGAGCCAGTGCTCCATCTGGCTGTGCTCCACCCCCAGCAATCTGCAAAAATGATGCAGGTGTTCATCTTGGTTCTAGGATACAAAGAGAAACATCTGATTCAGCAAGGCACAAATGGAGGTTGGTGTCGCCAGAGGGCCAAAAAACCCCATGCGACCTTCTCATTCCCTAGTGGGTGGGCTGGAAACCTTTGATGGTCTACTCCAGGGGTAGGCAACCTCGGCTCTTTTATGACTCATGGACCTCAACTCCCAGAATTCCTGAGTCAGCATAGCTGGCTCAGGAATTCTGGGAGTTGAAGTCCATGAGTCATAAAAGAGCCGAGGTTGCCTACCCCTGGTCTACTCAAAACGGCCTTCCTGGGCCGCTGTTTCCAGCTTCCGGAGGCACAGTGGTTAGAATGCGGTATTGCAGGCTCATTCTGCCGACTGCCAACAGTTCGTTTCTGACTAGCACAAGGTTAAGTTAACTTTCCACGCTTTTGAGGTCAGTAAAAGGAGGAGCCAGATTGTTGGGGGGGATATGCTGACTCTGTAAACTGCTTACGAGAGGGTTACAAAGCACTGTGAAGTGGTATATAAGTCTAAGTCAGTGGTTCTCAACCTTTTTAATGCCGCGACCCCAACCGGTCGTAAGTCGAGGACTAAACTGGTCGTAAGTCGAGGACTACCCAACTGGTCGTAAGTCGAGGACTTTCCCTGCCCGGGAGCACCGCGCATGCGTGGTTCCGCCCCCTGCGCCAGCCGAGGCGTAGCTGGCAAGCGGCAGAGACGGAGCAGGCCGACCACCAACTGGCCCAGCCCAAGGGAGGTAAGGCACCCGCTGGAAAAGGGGAAAAAATTGCGGACAAAAAAAATGGCGGACAGCCTTGCTTGGCGACCCCCATGAAATGGTCGATCGACCCCAAATGGGGTCCCGACCCACAGGTTGAGAACCACTGGTCTAAGTTCTGTTGCTGTTCCAACGAAGGAGAATATTTGGAGCACAGGGTTGAAATGAGGGATCCTTGGTGCTCTCCGAGTTTGATTGTTTTCTTGCAAACATTTCTGTCATGGTTCCGACTAATGAAACACTTCAAAGAACTTCCAGGCATGTTTATCCTAAAACCTTTATTAACAGTATTACAAATTGACGGCACATCATGGAGGCTTATGCCAGAATCTGAATTTCTCTTGCTTGCGTCTAACTTTTCTTTCTAAACCCCTCCCTTATTTTGCAGTCATAAGTCACATCTTCCAATTAGCCCGGAGGGCAAAGATTCACTTCCGTTCCTTTTTCCCCGGGCTTTTCCCTCCTCCCTCCTCTACTCTGCATTATCTCTAAAAAATACCAGAGTTTTGTATATTTTGTCAAAGCAAGAATATACAGTATTTGCAGCGTTGACAGTTTCATTACCCAACCACCCAACAGTAACGATGATGTTACCTAGTTTGTGTAATGAAATGTCTGCAAGAAAACAACCAAACTCAGAGAGCACCAAGGACTTCTCGCTTCCAGCTTCGTTAGTTTGCAGCGACAAGAGACCAACATCCACCGCATGAAACATTGGGCTCCTTCACAAGGACATTACTACTACAATACTATAACCAGCTACAGACCTACCTTGAGCTGCTAACTCATCCTAAACATAACCAAAGATATTTTTTCCTCTGGATCTCTAGCTAATTACTATCTTTGCTAGTGTATGGCACTGAGCACCTGGATAACAGTAATAAAATTGTGTAGAAAGAGCACATACAGTGCGTTTTTAATAAGTTTACAGACATTTCTAAAATTCTGTTTTCATTTTGCCATTATGGGTACTGAGTGTAGATTAAGGAGAAAAAAATGAATTTCAACAACTGTAGAATCAGGCTGCAGCATAACAAAACTGACAAAAAACGTGAAGGGGCTCTGAATAGTTTCTGAGAGTGCCGTAATACTACGATACACCTATGAGGGAAATAAGTGGTCAATTTTTAAGGTCTGAGGAATTCAAAAAAGCATTATATGCCATAGGTTACCTTTTAAAATATATTGATTCATAAGAAGAGATAAGTGTTCTATATATTAATATCTAGGCCACTTATCCAATTAAGCGCAGTATTTGTTAGCTGGAAAAAATCTGGAAGTTTCCCTCCTGTGGAAACAGCAGCTGGTCACTCTGCGATCCAGAGTCTGACGAGGAACTTCGTGGGGGGAAATTCTCTGCCCCACCGAAACAGGGAATCTGGGGCAGATGCCACGTGGGGTGTGGACCCCACCCAAAGTTTTCCAGCTCTGGCGGGCGGCATCGAAACCCACACATTTTTGTGTCGGGTTAGATATATATTTTCCACAATCTGGACATTTGACCATCCTGCTTACATTCCCCTGGGACTTTACATGGAAGTTGATGTTACGAAGCTGCCGTGCAAGTATCAGTGGGCGGTTCCTGGCTAAGGAGAACAGGACTGGACTCCGACTTTGATTGTTTAACAATATAAAAACCAACAGCTCTTTTCCTTCACTTAGTCCAGTGATAGCGAACCTTTTAGAGACCGAGTGCCCAAACCGCAACCCAAAACCCACTTATTTATCGCAAAGTGCCAGGACCGCATCAGCATTGTGGTGCCCTCATGGGGGGGGGCAGGGAGGTGCCTCTGAATGCCGCCTCTGGCATGCAAAAACCGGGGGCGCAAAAATGGGCCACCGTGCTGCAAGGTGCAAAAATGGTTACCACCGCACCACAGGGTGCAGATACAAGACACTACACCACACAAGAATGGGGCAGGGCTAGTGAGTATCACACAGGCACTAGCCTCGCCCCATTTGCAGCCTGTGCATGCTCGCGGCCCCGTGTGCGCATGCGCGCATCTAAAATGCTTCCCCCTCCCTTTTCTTCCAGTCCACCATTCGACAATGGTTGATGACCTCTGCTCTACCACCTCTACTCGCGCTTGCTAGTCGGCCACTTCGCCTCGTTTGTGCTGGGCGGGGCTCCTGCTCGGGGCGGCGGCGGTGGCACGCATGCCAACAGAGAGGGCTCTGAGTACCGCCTCTGGCACCTGTGCCATAGGTTCGCCACTAATGACTTAGTCAAAAGGAAGACACGGTCCCTTCTGACTCCGTTATTCTGTACAGGCCGTCCTTGACGTACGACCACAATTGAGCCCCAAATTTCTGTTGTTAACTGACACATTGGTTGAGTGAGTTTTGCCCTGTTGTACGACATTTCTCACCACGGTTGTTAAGTGAATCACTGCGGTTGTTAAGTCAGCCACACGGTCGTTAAAGAAATCTGGCTTCCCCTTTGACTTTGCTTGTCAAAAGGTCGCAAAAGGGGGGTCTCATGACCCTGGGACACACCAAAGGTCATAAATACGAACCAGTTGTCAAGTGCCTGAATTCTGATCACGTGACCCTGGGGATGCTGCAAAGGTCACAACTATGAAAAATGGTCATAAGTCACATTTTTCAGTGCTGTTGTAAGTTTGAACGGTCGCTAATTGAGCTGTTGTAAGCCGAGGACTACCTGTACTTCTGATCAAGCCTCAGGTTTACCAGGGCGGAGGGAGAGCGACCGTCCTCGTCTCTAAGGCCGCACTAACACCCGGGGTCCCAGTGTCTGGCCTGAGGCCTTCACCGCTACTTTACTTTACTTTACTTTACTTTATTTTTGATTTATATCCCGCCCTTCTCCCAACGGGGACTCAGGGCGGCTCACAACATATTTAAAAACAGAAACATACAGTCCCCACCCAATAAAACCAATTAAGAATAAATATTTCAGAGTTGTGTTATTTAAAATATTCTAAAAAATGAACCCGATTTAAAATCCTCCCTAGGC